GCATCGCTGCAGGCTCTGGAGGAATGGCTGAAAATCTTTGCCGCTCTTCGAGCGCACTGCAGATTTTTCCGAAGCGATAGTTCTCGCGAGGCGCTCGCGGTTTGGTTGGAAAGAGAGGGGCGCGGAGACTTTTCGATATTGTTGAGATACTTCTCTGCATCGTTCGCCAAGTGGAGGTTCGACGCGTTCCTGGGTGCTGTCGTCGCACTGAGCAGGCTTCGCTTTGCACTCGCGCTGTTCAGACCTCGCATGCTCGGCGCGCCCCAGCGCGCGCAGGACTTCAACGAAGTTCCCAAGCACAGGGGCGACAGTCATTGCTGGCGTTGGGCGAGCGGCTTCACCGCGATGGCGAGGCCGATCGAGCGCGTTAGGACTTTGGCGGCAGCCTGCCCACACCCTGTGCACCAGGAAGACTTGGTGAACGGGGAAGAGCGTCAAGTGTGAGCAGCTGGGCCGACAGCTCCACGAGGCATCTGCTTTTAGGGTTCAAGAGTTGAGGACAGAACTCACTCGCGCGGCAGTCGCTCTGGTTGTCGGCGACGCTGGGGGGCGACGAGGCCGCATTCAGTGACTTGACATTAGCCCCGGGGCGTTTCTTGACAGTGTGCCAGGAAGAGTTCGCTTGCATTGATATGATGCCATGCGCGCTCGCGAATGCCACGGGCCAGGCGGTCGCCCGATCCATCATCCAACAGTGGGAAGTGATTCCTCGGCGAGACCACCACATAATGACTGTCCTGCTCATGGGCGAGTTCGAGCAGGACATCAGGGGGATCGCTGTCGCTGACGAGGGCAGCGGCGACGCCCCAGGCCGCCTGGGGGAAGAAAGCCGAAGCCTTTCGGAGGACCCCACTGTCATCCCAGGTTGTTGAAGGCCGTCACAGGTCAACCAAGCTCAGCAAAGCTCGCGGCGGCGCCTCTCGCTCGCCGCGGCTGGTGTCCCCGAACAGGATCTGGCAAAACCTGGATATCGCGGCGATGCTCGAGGCGTGCCCCGAGGGGGGAAGCACGTCTAGATTGCGAGCTTCGACGCGCGACGAGGGTGTTGCAGACGGAACGTAAGTTGTTCTTGGCGCGCGTCAAGACACCGCTTCGTCAGTGCATCCGGCGAGTATATCGCCTCGGCGAGTTCAGCAATTTCGCTTGGGGTGAGATTATGACAGGGGACACTGCTGCAGCCGCGATTGTGATTGCGGGCGTTGCAGATGGCGCTGGCGCAGGCGAGGCGCCGCCAGTGGGCGGCGGAGATGCTGGCGATGGCGGCGGCGGCCTTGCCCCGCCACCTGGGCGCGACGCAGCGCTGGTCATGCCCCACGGAGGGGCCACCTTTGCCCGCCGACCAGGGGGCCAACTTGAAGAAGAGCTTTTTGGCCGCAGCGATTCACCCCCGCTGCTTCTACAGCGTCGCGGTCCCAGACCTCGACGACCCCTTCGTGTTCGAAGCCTTGAAGGTGGTGACGAAGCCATGGCTCACTGTCAATCCCATCAGAGCGCAAGTGAGGTAGCCGATCTTTGGACTAGCCATTCAGACATGTGCGTTCTAGGGTCCCGCAAGGGGGGTCGGTGCGGTCATATGCCCTGATGGCGGTGGATTTCGGATTGATATCGATGCAACTGCCCCATGGGCGAATCTCATGGGTGAGTGGTGCGCGTGGGAGGTTGCGAGAAACCGCGACATGCCTGGCTGCCTTGATTTGAAGGCGTGCTCCCTGTCTCAACCAGCTATGGCATTGACCGGCTCGCAGCGCCCGCCCCTGGTCATCAAGCAAGCGCCCAGCAGCTGAGATTTTGCCATGTCCGACACCTTGGTCGCCCACAAGTCTGAGGGTGCCTCCATGGCAGAGTGCAGCATACGAAAAGTGAGTTCCCGCCGAGGGCATCTCGTTGCCGTGGGGCCCCTTGGTGGAGCAGGGCTTGGCGGAGATGCGCAGCGACGCCCCGATCGATTATTGCAAGAACTCGCTCCGAGGGAACATCGTTCTACCTGGACTGCCAGCGAGCACGCACAAGCGGATGCTACAAGGGGAGGCGTTCGAGGACGTGATCGCCGAACAAGACCGCCCTGAAGACGTGGAAGACGGCGAAGTCCCTGGCGGGGAGCCCGAGCTTGCTGCCTCGGTGGACGGTTCGGAATCTGCCGGGCCTATTTGCGACGAGTCGCTAAGGTCCGACTCGTCTTCGTCATCGGGCAGCTCGCCTTCGAGCTCCTCTTCGAGTTCCAGCAGCTCGAGCTCGAGTACCTCCGACGAGTTGCTGGCGCCAGAGGTCGAGGTCGTTGCTGGCCCCGCCTGTGAAAGAGCAGAATTTTTCTGGGGCCAGCGCCTCGCCACTGAAGATCGCATGGTCATCTCGGGGTATTTCCGACATCGGCTGAAGTGCGACAGCCACCCGATTGTGTTCGGAGGCGGAACGCGATGGCTGCTCAGTGTGTTGATCTGGGCATCTACCAGCCCATTGCGTACCTGGCCGCGTGGCAGGATATGGGCCGACACAGGGGCAAGGCTGCCCACGGGAGTCGGCACCTGGAGATTCCTCTGGAAGACCAGAGGGCGTGGCTAGTTGCGAACGGCCACATATGATGTCAACAAGTCTGGCCGAATGGGCCTGAGCGTGCCTCTATCGTTTCCGCATGTTGAATCCAGTCGGAAATTCATCACACCGTCATCAGCATCTTCGCCATCAGCCTCATGTGTGCCGCAGCATGTCAATATGGATTTGGTGCCCGTGTGCTTTAACCATCATTAGTTTCGTCGTCATTCCCACCTTCAGTAGCGTCACCATTTTTCTTGCCTGTTATGCAGTGCGTCGGCATTGGGTGCTCGCGTCCTCTGGTCTGATGTCTTCTGGCGCATTTCGGCCAAGTTTCGGGGTGCCCCACTGTGCGCTCTGATGGCCCCTCGCCCCCCAGCGTGCGTCTGGCTCTGGTTCCACCTTCGACGGTTACCCTCTTCATCGCCCTCGCCAGCATCACATTCATCATCATCCGCATCATCCTCAGATAGCTGTTTGCAACCCAAGCGTTCAGCGCAGAGTTGTCCCGACCGACGCCAGCTGGGTCGCGCCCTCTGGGCCCAGCGCAGGCCCGAGCAGCAGCGCCCCTCCTGGAGCAGATGGTGCTGACCTTGAAGGAGCGCAGACTTCAGTGCGTCATCATGGCGAAGGATAAGGGGATCAAGATCCTCAAGCGCATCAACGCGAACTAAGTGGAGCTCCAGCTCCAGCACCACTCGAAGGTCGGGAAGCACGCCAAAGCTGCCGCGAGGCACACGGGCATCGACTACCAGAGCCTCTTCGACAAATACCGCCAGACCTGAGACTGTTGTTAGGCTCAGCTCAGGAGCTCCGGAACCGCACGCTTGGTGACGGTGCGCTTGGTCGTTGCAGAGTTGCAGATAGTTTAGCCCGCGTTCTAGTTTTGCATCGGGCGAAGCGGGGGCGTTCGCCCACGCGACTTGCGCGCAGTGGCCCGACAGTCCAGAACCATGACAGATGACCAATTTCTGAGTTGAAAATGCGAGACGCAGTATCAGCTGCTGCCACTCTGCCGCGCCTCCTCGCTGGGCCCCGTTCCAGGTGCCTGGGGCTTCTCTGATCCCTTCTCCACTCCCGCTCGTCCGTGCCCCACTCGCCCTCCCACGCTGATCCTGACCCCCGATGCGCTTCTCTGCGTGGCATTGTTCAGAGGTGGCCCTGCCTCCGCAGCAGACCGTGACTATCAATGCTGGTTTATTGGAAGTACCGCTTGCTGAAAGTGTCTCTCGGTTTAGAGATGAGTGCCATTGCTTCCATTATTTTCCTTATGCGCTAGGGCAACTTTCAAAACCAAGCAGCTCGAAATCACTCCTCAATCACTTCTGCCTGTCCGAACCTCTGCGAAACCATTCGCAATCATTCGAAATCACTCCGAAATCACTCCAGGCCTTTCCGAAATCATTCCGAAATCATGTCGAATCACTCCAAGCCTCTCCGAAATCATCTGGGATCACTCCGCATTCATTCCGAAATCATTCGAAATCACTCCGGCACCCTTTCGGGTCTTCCCCAGCTTGAAGTGTTTTTGTACTTTTCATGGGGTGTAAGCAGCAACGTCATCTCTCGTCGTCTTGTCTGGCTTCATCACATCTTAATTTCCACAGGCTCGCGCAAGGCCATAAGGGGCTTCAAAAGGTAGAGAGGGGGCACATGGTCATGGGGGGAGTGGAGACTCCGCGGGGGCAAATCGCAACCAGAGACGAGGGGGAAGCGGTGACGGATGGAAGGGGGGCAAATGGCAACGAAGGAGGGGGAGGAGACACATTGTAGGAATAACCCATGGTAGCGGAGGGAGGGGGGACAAAAAGGTAACCCAACCCTTCGCGCTGCCGCTGGCCAGGCCGACGGTCCGCCGCTTGCTTGGGCCCGGCTTGCCGGCCTCTGTGACGCGCGCGTTCCATTGGCCGAGGTTATTCGGCAGGCTTCGAATGAAGGCCTTCTTCGACGAGGCCCCCGGGGCTTCCCCGCAGGGTTTTCGGAGCCCGTGGAACTGCTCGGCGGTCATCGGGGCCATTCCGAGCGCGTTGTTTCCGCGCCAGTCTCCGCTCGCATCCACCTGCCCCCACTTTTTCAACGTTTTTCCCAAGTCTTCCTTCCCTTTCCCTTGATCTTCATTTTCATGTCCCTCGCGCTCCGCTGTGCTATTCGTCAGTTCTTGGCATTCCGCCCACTCCCCCCCAGGCCGCCCCTTCCCACCCCGACAATATCCACCCTTCCCCGCTCGCATTCCGCATTCCCCCCAAATCATTCCCAGCCCCTCCTCCAGATTCCTCCGCGCGCCCCGCGCTCCTCCCAGCTCCTCTTCTCCACTCCTTGCCGCTTCTCGTCCTGAGACCCTACTCTTGTCCACTCCGCCCCAATCCACTCCACGTCCCCGCGTTCCTCTCGACGCGGTTGCAGTTCTCGCTTCCTTTCCGCCCCGCTCTCCCATCATCCCGTTTCTTTTCAAGGCTCCGCGGAAATTGTGTCTGACACCAGTGCGCAGCTCCGCGCCCCCCGCGGGGGCATCCACGATGTGTTTTTTCAAGGGGGCGATGCGTGGCGCTGTGCATGGCGCGCCCCGCGGTGAAACTTATTGTTGACCTGTGTTGGAGTGGCCGGCGCAAGGTGAATCGCCACTCGCAGCGCAAGTCGCCCCCCCTTTTTTTTGCCCCCCCATTCCCTTCCTCCGGCCCCTTCGCCTTCATTCTCTGCCGTCATCTGTTGCCCTTCGTCTTCAAGGGATTCACCAGCCGCGCGCGGCGGGCGGGCATCCAGCGTTTGAAATGTGCATATTGAATGACACGCAAGCAAGTAAAAGCGAACCGTTTTAAAACGATTGTTGTTGTTGTTGTCGTTGATGTTGTCGTCGTTGTTGTTCGGCCGCCGGGGGCCGCGGTCGGGCCCATGGGCCCCGGGGGCGTGAAAAACGGACGCGGGGTGAAAGACCGCGCAAGAAAGGCCCCACAGAGGGTCCGGGGTCTCAAGGGCTCCCACGAGGGCGCGAAGTTAGTCGCGGTTCGCGGGCTTCATTTCTCCTCCCCCCCTCCTCGTCCTCCTCCTTTGGGGGCGGCGCGAGAGCGCGAAGTTGGGAGCCGTTGGGTGTCAGGGGGCCGATTTTTGAGCGCGTTTGGCATCGTCACGCCCCCCTGCTAAATGATTTGCAGGGGGACCAGCCAGTTCAGACCTCCTCGCCGCCCGCGGCTCTCCGCGCGGGCTTCCTCGTGCGAGGGGGGATAGCGGCTGGACCGGAGACCCGTGTCCAGAAACGCACTGCTTGCCACCATTGTGCCCTGGGCGTTTTGGGCTCCGATGGTCTTGCAATGGAAAGCGCTACGTTCCCACGCCAGAGATCCATGGACGTCCTGGGGTCTCAGGGTTGGGTGTCTGATGGAAGGCCTCTTATATACTGGCCTCCGCTGTATGCGCCGATTCTGTGCTCAGGGTGGGCCTGGCCACAATCGGCGCATGTTCGGCGGCGAGCGAGGGGGGGACAGTGAGGAGGAAAAAGCCTTTTCAGAAGGCAGCGGGACCTGTCGGAGGCCATCGCGCCTTCTGAGAAAGTTTCGTTTTGCGTCTAAGGGGGGTTACGAACTTTTCAGGAGGCTGGGGGGCGCCCGAGTTTTTTGACAAGGTCCGCCCCTTCTCACTTCTCCCCCGCGTTTGCCGCCAACATGTCCACAGTTCCCCTGTCCTCGATCTCTAAGATCGGCGCCCGGCCCGCCCGGGCGGCGCCTCTGGCGCCACCACTGACGCGCCCCGCGCGCCAGGGAAAGGGGGTCCAGCGCCGACGCGAGAGATCCGCGCGGAGTGCCGAAGGGTTGTGCTCCTCTTCCTCCTCCTCCTCCTCATCATCATCATCATCATCGTCCTCCTCCTCCTCCTCCTCATCATCATCATCATCATCACCGTCGTCCTCTTCCTCCTCCTGCTCCTCCTCCTCCCTGGGAGTGCTCTGGAGCGCCTGGGAACGCCTTGCGCAGCTGCTTCTCCCTCCGGCGTCCGACTGTGCGGGCGGCGACGTGGGGGAGGCCGACCGCCGGGCCGGGCAGGCGTGGCTGTGGGGCGAGGACTCGCCACGAAGCGCGCGCCGGTCCTGAGGGCAACGGGCCACGAGGCCTTCGGTTTGGTCTGGGCTGGTTTGGGGGGTGGTGAACTCCTGGCCGAGCACCCGGTTGGCGGCCTCGCGCTCCGCGATCGAGCCGCGAGGGTAGAACAAAAGAAGGCACGGCATGAGCACCCGCGGTCGGGGCTCCGCGAGGCTTCCCGTCATCGGCGCCGGCATCCTACCCGAGGTTCCAGGTCTGCGTTTTTTTGTTGTGCTGCTTCCTTTCTGTTTTCGTGAGTTCACGGCGGCTTTCCAGCTTCGGAATGCGTCCCAGTAATTAACCGCGCCTCGCCGAGAGCGTTGTGGGGGTGCCCAGATTGCCCCGAGCGGCTCTCAGAGACCCGAACGCCGACCTGAAGAGCCAGATGACCCATGAAGCAAGCGGGCTCTCAGGGAAACGGGTCCTGAGCGTTGCCCACGTTCTTCGGGTTCCTGGGGCCCCCCTCGGGCCCAGGGGCTGTTCAAAGACGGCTCAGGATGGGGAGCCCGTCTTGGAGGAAGGCCCCCGGGATCCAGGACCCACCCTGGGACTCGACGCTGTGGAACCGTTCGCAGCAGATCGCATGTTCTGCTGCGCTTTTCGAGCCGAGTCGACTTGCGATGGCCCAGAGCACGAGAGTGAGCGAGAACGCCCAGTGTGTCAAGATTCAAGCAGTGGCCAAGCGTCCCGGCTCGGCTATAGCCCCACCAAACAATGTTCTAATCACGTTTTGCGGTTCCCACGAAAAGTTCTTAGACCATTTTTGGTTGGGATTGTTTTGTTTCAACACTTCGGGTTCATGTTCTAAGAACATTGTTTTCGTTTTTAGAACATGTTTGGGTTCTAAGATCACTTCGTGGTAGGACTATAGACTATAGGAATGCCGGGACGGTCGGTCCCCGCTCAAAAGACTGCCGCGCCCTGGTCTTTGGGCATCAGAAGCGATGCCGGGTGCAGAGTGGAGGCGGCTTCCGGCGTCCAGGACCCGCTCCGAGGGATGCGATGTTTTTTATGTTTTTTCATTTCTGTTTCAGAGCGCGGGGCCCACTGAAAGTCCCGACGCTGTCCCCAGGACCATTGATCAGAGCCCCGAATCATCAGGGGTAACTCGGGTCAGGGATAACTCGGGTTCGTTTTTCGGGAATCCAAACCCGAGTTGCCCCGGACCCGAGTTACCCCGGATAACTCGGGCGTCCAGAGCCCCGAATCATCAGGGGTAACTCGGGTCAGGGATAACTCGGGTTCGTTTTTCGGGAATCCAAACCCGAGTTGCCCCGGACCCGAGTTACCCCGGATAATTCGGGCGTCCAGAGCCCCAAAATCATCAGGGGTAACTCGGGTCAGGGATAACTCGGGTTCGTTTTTCGGGAATCCAAACCCGAGTTGCCCCGGACCCGAGTTCCCCGGATAATTCGGGCGTCCAGAGCCCCAATCATCAGGGGTAACTCGGGTCAGGGATAACTCGGTTCGTTTTTCTGGAATCCAAACCCGAGTTGCCCGGACCCGAGTTACCCCGGATAACTCGGGCGTCCAGAGCCCCAGTCATCGGGGGTAACTCGGGTCAGGGATAACTCGGTTCGTTTTCGGAATCCAAACCCAGTTGC